CTCCCTTTAAGGGGCACTCCTTAAGGCTCTCTCTTTAAGACGCTCTCTTCAAGGGGCACTCCTTAAGACTCTCTCTTTAAGACGCTCCCTTCAAGGGGCACTCCTTAAGGCTCTCTCTTTAAGACGCTCCCTTTAAGGCATTTGCTTGTGCTTGGTGCTGTGTTTTTCTTCTTATAATAAATGTTTTACGGATATAATATCTACTTACAGATAACCAGTTCAAAGAGACTGCAGAGAAGGGGAATGTCAGACATACAGTACACATTGCATTCTCACTCTGATCACCTCTGTAATGGCACATGCTGCAGAAAACATGCTGGACTCAAAAATAGGATGACCTGTGTCTAGTATCATAATAATATTTGATATCAGATGCATTTGCCGTGGTTCTTATCAAATCACATTTATTTTTTTCAATGAATGGACTATATTTAAAGTGTAAATAATACAGAAATCTATGCTGTCAAGCAGAATTATTAACAGCAGGTAGATTAGAAGAGGTCTGGACAAAAATCCTATGTTATAAACTGAAAATGAAAAAATGATGGTTGGAGAACTAATGTTTTTCGAAGCCAAATCATGACACAAAGACTCCAAACGGTATCCAAGGCAGAAATGCAGCCAAAAGAGACAAAGATATCTCGGAAATCGTAATACATTGAAAGCAGTGGGTTTCAAAATACGTCATTCACTTCTGTATATTTATTGGAAACACACACACATTCATCATTAAATAAAAGAAATTTGCCTGAACAAATTGAGCATGTGGTTTGATTTTCATTTCTGCACAAGTGGACGGTTTCCTGTTTTTCCGCACGAACGAAACACACAGGTTTTGTGAAAGTGTTCTACAGTGGTCTGTTTCCCGCGCATTGTCGAAACCCCCTTAATCGATATGCTATTACGTGAAACAGTGGCCAATGTGTCACTGTGCCTAAAGAATGAGCAGTTAGACCAGGCAAGGAGAGAAGGACCTTCTTGCACCGCGCCATATGCAGACTCACCTTGCGAGGGGCTTGATCTCGTGAGGAACCACATCAGGAGCAGGAACGTCATTAACATCTTGAAAGTGTCCTTCTAGAAAACCGTGAAAAGTGGACCAATGCAAAGCAAGACAAAGCAGTAATGGAAAAGTTATCCTCTCTCTCACTGTCAGTGTCTCCGTTTCTCCGTAACTGTCAGTCTCTCCGGTTCTCCGTCGCTGTCGGTCTCTGCGGTTCTCCGTCGCTGTCGGTCTCTCCGGTTCTCCGTCGCTGTCGGTCCTCTCCGTTTCACCGTCACTGTCAGTCTCTCTGTTTCTCTCTCGTTTGCCCTTTTTTCTCTCTGTCTATCAACTCAGAGCAGTAGTTCACACTTCCTGAGTTGCTCATACCTAAAACCGCAACGTGCAGCTGTGTTCTCATACGGCCCCAAAGTTTCAGATAAATATTGAAACAAAGTCAGAAGTCTTTCAGAAACCAGTTAGTCATATAACCTTGTGTGATTCTGTGAGTTATTCTGTGAGTGATTCTGTGAGTGATTCTGAGCACATCAGTGGCAGCATCAGGGGCTTGGTGACCTTGTGGAGATCCCAGCTCATTGTCTTTAAGCAGAAACCGGCAGAAGGTTTATGGCTTAGCTGCAACTGCTGTTATTAAATACTTTTATTATGAGCTGCTGTCTTTATTGGGATACATTGATTTTGAGATTCATGCCTTTTTGTTAAATTCCTGTAAGAATTTAAGGCGATCCTGAAAAATGTTTCACAAAATTTCCGGGAAAAGAATCATTATTGCTGATCATATAATGTAATGTCTTTAAGGCCAAATTATTATCTACAATATTGTGTTTTATATACACACACACATGCATACAGTACTGTGCAAGGCACAGAAAAATAAGTTTAAATATTCTTCATGTTGTTGTAAGACTATATTATGTCTGTCAATGTGTCAGCTTAGCCATTTCAGAACCTCTCCCAAAGTCGCCGCAGTATTTGCAGCAAACATCCGATACACCCAAGTATTTTTTGACTCGACCACTACCCCACCTTCTTTGGCTAATCAGTACCCCACAGAATTATTTAACAAATCAAGGAGAGGTTTGGGACCTGAAGCGGTGTTCATTTAGCCGTCCAACCAGATATCAGTCACTTTTTGGAGAACAGAATAAGGTTTATGTTTTGCGTTACTGTTAATGTGCACGTTATAATGATTTTTTTTCTAAGAAAACTTACCAAGATAATGCTCAGCTACAGCAGGTACAAACTTACCAAGATTACTACCAAGATGAATAGCCGTAAACATTTTCTTTGGCCGCCTAAGACTTTTGCAGAGTACTGTATGTAAGTGACTAAAGTGCATTTGATTGGTCACTTAGTTGAGTAACAGACCGATATGTAAGACTGTTGGGCTGCTCTAGCATTTCCTCCACTTCCTTCTATACTTCAAGAGACGGAAACTCTCAGTACCAAGCAGTAAGATGTTACGTGGCAGTTAAATCGACCTGCTTTTGGCTGCTGTTTTGTTACCCCTCGGTCTTTCATAGCAGCCAGGGGACCAAATATTGTAAAGAAGAAGCTGATTGCCACCAGGTCAAAGTGAAAATATTGTCCCCTGCAAACATCACATGTTCATTCTTCTAACTAGATCAAAATCAGCCTGCTGATGAAGCTCCCCGGGTGGCGGGGGGGGGGGGGGGGGGGGGGGGGGGGGGTGTGCCTGCGGCGTATAGGCCGGCTGCCCTCCTTATCGTTATAGTGAGGTAAACAAACGGATTTCACCACAATGAAAAGAAACACGACATGTATTACAGGAAGGCAGTGAATTCTCAGCATGTCGCTCCTTAAGGCACCTTTTCATGCCTATGAATTTTGTTAGAAAGTAACAAGATTTCAGAAATCTTTATTTGTCTGCAATGGGCTGGCATCCCATCCAGGGTGTACCCCATCCAAGGTATACCCCACCCATGGTGTGCCCCATCCAAGGTATACCCCATCCAGGGTGTGCCCCATCCAAGGTGTACCCCACCCATGGTGTGCCCCATCCAAGGTATACCCCATCCAGGGTGTGCCCCATCCAAGGTATACCCCACCCATGGTGTGCCCCATCCAAGGTATACCCCATCCAGGGTGTGCCCCATCCAAG